AGTTAAGGAATAGCTAAACAATATAGAAGATTCCAGAGAGAGAGAGAATACATACAAAGATACAGGAGTCAGCTTGGCATCACAGTTCTCAGAAATTTGACTTTGGAACAGAGAAGCACTGCCATCAAAGTTCTGAAGGAAAGCCCAATACTTTCTTCCACACTATCCTCCTTCAGAAACTTACTAGATTGTATGCTATCAAATAACAAAAAGGGAGAGATGTAAGAAATAATGGAACTTGCCAACATGTGCAATAAAAATAAATTCCACAATAACAACTGCGCATCAGTCTTAAAAACAGTCAGTACAAAATTGATTCCAGCAAACATTATGATTAAGAAGCTAAATAACCTTAGGTAATATTTTTTAAAAGGCATATATTGTTTCCATCAATGAGGAGGGAAAAAGGCAAGACTCAAAGAAGAGATAATAACTCTATAAGTCAGGATTGAAATAGGAACTAGAATAAATGGCATGGTTGAGCAATCAATGCACTCTAAGAAAAAGAATCCAGTTGAACTTGATACTTGAAACATTCTCCTTTGAACATCAGAGATTCCTTTTCTGTGAATCTAATCACACTCTCTGCTCTGCAGTGAACAGTATTTATAAATCTTTAGACAATACTACAAATAAGCCTGCTGACCAATCTGAAAAGGACAATTACAGAACAGAGGAAAGCAGAATCAAAAGCTTGGAAAATTAAATGCAAAAGTCAAGTCCAAAGAAAAGGACAAAATCTTAAATAAGAGATAGAACCAGGCACTAGGAGCCAGGCTAAAACATGGTAAGAATTGAACCAGGTTAAGAACAAACCAGATGTCAAGACAACTTCCTCTTACCAAAGTTGTAGTGGTAAATTTGTTTTCTAGTTCTTGCGTGTTGGTTTATTTTTTGTCAGTTTGTGAATTTGGATCTCATGAATGAGTTTTCATTAGGGTAATTAAGCCAGGACAATATAGGTTTAAAAATGTAAGTGAGAGATAATATTAAAATGTTTTCATGGTTAGGAAGACTCAACATAAATTCAGTTCTTAGTAAGTTTTTTTTTAATATATCCTACCCGACCCCTAAAAATATAGCTCAGCCCTGGCTGGTGTGGCTCAGTGGATTGAGTGCCAGCCTGCACACAAAAAGTTCACTAGTTCAATTCCCAGTCAGGGCACATGCCTGGGTTGCAGGTCAGGTCTCTAGTTGGAGGCACACAGGAAGCAACCGATCTCTCGCACATTGATGTTTCTCTCCTTGTGTTTCTCCCTCCCTCCCCTCTCTCTAAAAAAAAATAAAATCTTTTTTTAAAAAAACGATTTTTTTAAAAAAAGAATATAGCCAAAAAACACTTCAGTCATTAAACATTAAAACAGAAGGATATGGGTGTATGAATAAACAGGCCACTGGAATAGAGTTTAAAAGTCCAGAAATAAATCATACGCTTATGGACGTTTAGTATATGATAAAGACAGCATCTCAAATCAGTGAGGGGAAAAATTGTCTCTGCAGTACATAATGTTGTTACAGAATGGCCATGGGGAAAGAGATGTTGAATCCACCACACCTATCACCAGAAGCCAGGATAAACTTCACACAGATCAAAGACCTAAATGTTTTAAAGAGAGAAGAAAAAGAAACCATAAAATGGTTTTAGAAAAAAATAGAGAAAAATAGAAGGAGAAACCATGGAGAAGGCTATAAAATTAAAGATTGACATATTCAGCTATGTCAGAATCAGAAAGTGCATAGGAAAAAAAGTGTAAACAAAATCAAATAAAAATTAATTGAAAAAATGTCATTTATATTATAAAGAGCTGATATCGCTAACATATAAAGTGCTCCTTGAAAAGTATAAGAAAATGACCAATCATCCAGTAGAAAAATGGGTCAGGGGTAGCAACAAAAAAGAAAATACCATTTTATATATATTAAAAGCTGCTCAATCTCACAATAGAAGAAATGCAAAACAAATATACCCAAACATTTATCAGACTGGAAAAAATCCAGAAAGGTAACACAAGCATACATTTTATCAATTAGGAAACTGAAGCTCATTGAACCAGAGTAGATTGCCTAAGTTTACACAATTAATTAAGAGAGTCAGGAATGGATATGTCTTTGACTTCTAACCTAATACTAAAATATTTCCACTACATGTGCTTTGCTTTCTCTATGTTCAGTAGATGGTGGCATTTTGGACACTATTTGATGTTAAAGTGGTAAATTTTTTTTGCTCAAATTTACCATTGATATGAAAGGATCCATCTATAAGATCAAATGTAACAAAACTGAACAAAATTGTTCTACATCTTATTTTTGTACCCATTGTATTATCCTAATAGGAATTTTACAGGATTTTGTTGCCTTGAAAGTATTCCCTACCCGGATTTCAGAAACCACACTAACACTGTTTAATACTCTCTGTGAACAAAAACAGGAATTTGACACACCCTAAGAGTGGGTGAGCCTCTTCTTGAGAAAGCAAAGACATGTGAATTTCTCCTGTCTCCTGACCAGCTTCAGGGATAATCTGTTTTGTGTAATAATTGCTCCTATACCAGTAACAGAAGAAAGCCAGAGAGAAACAGAACTGTGGTCTCCTCTCGGGCACCTAGGGGCCAAAGCCCTCCGCCTGATGCACCTGCAGCTCCTTCCCTCCCTTCTTCCTCGTGCTTGCTGTCCTCTTCCCCACTTCCCCCAGCACATGTGGTCCCCTTTACCTTATTTATATGTAGACTAGGGGTACGTAGGGGGAAAAAATTTTTTTCCTTTTTTTTTAAAAATCATACCAAGATACAAAAGTTAGGGCCACCAAAAAGAGGTCCTTTCAATAAGCTGAGAAACTGTCATCTCCCTTTCCCTTCTCTTACCTCAGTAGGTAGAACAGGAGCTGAAAGCTGCTGTAACACTAGACGTGTTTAACATTAAATCAGTGGTCATATATTTCACTCTGGGGGAGCAAGTAAATGAAATAGCATAATGTGGAAAGCAAAAAGGACCTCAAATGCTCAAAAGAGTAGTGAAGGGCATGTCACAGTGGCAGCGTCTGACGTGTAGCCATTCTCATGTGCATTGGCCTTGCCGCCCCCAGGACCGCAGAAAGGAGAGAGGATTCCAGTACCATTTCTTCCAGCTCCACTCTTGGCCCTAAGATTTATTAAGCTCTGTGGCTTAAACTCAACAGCTCTGTTTTAAAATACCCACTCAAGCTAGATGGTTCTAAATAGAACTAATGACAGCCAGAAAAAAAAAATAAAAAGAGGCCTGTAGGAACTTGCTCCGACTGCTCTGACACAGAGCTGATGTCTATAAACAGATTAGTAGAAGGGAGCAGAACTCTTCCTATCACCATAATGTTTGTGTCTTGGCATGAAGATGAAATAAAATTATAGGGGAAAAAAAGCCTGTAACACAGCCTACTTCTAATCTACGTAAAGGAGACTTTAGTCTGTCCACTGTCCATACGCTTGTGTTTGATTGAATCAAGTTAATGATTAGTCATAAATATCCACTAAATAATGTTTGGTGCAAAACGTTTGACTCTAGGGAAAAATAAAAGACAAAATAGACTTAGAAGAGGGAATGAGTGAAAAATTTTGACTGAGTTCTTTAAGAAGTTCAGTATAATTCTTAGTCCAAACAGCAACTGGATAAAACTAACTTCAGTTTTCATTTGTAAGAGAACAGGGAATGATGTGGTTAAACCCTGAAGCTGTATTGAACTTACTGTTTGAACTGCTGAGGTTACTAAGCAAGAAAAAAATTCGGTATTCTTTCGTTTTCCTACCATCTTCATATTAGACTTCAAAAGGAAACGGGATGGTTTACGAGGTAGAAAAAAGTTAAATGCCTCAACAATTTACTCAACAAACATGTAGAAAAACTATAGTAGAAAATAGCTACGCCAGGAGCTCCCAAATTTGTCTGTCCCTGAGAGTCACCTGGAGATCTTTTAAAATGTCAATGCTCGGGTCACACCCCAACCGATTATATCTGCAGGAGTGGGACACAGGCATCAGTAGTTTTGGAAACGCTACAGGTGACTCCAATGTGCAGAAAAATTTAGGAACCATTGGACTATAGGCTGACATTGTTTATCGTACTAAAACTATTAAATGATTGCGTGAGTCATATTTGTTATTGTTGTTTGTTAATGTTCTTTCATGCAGTGTGATTGCTTCAGATGTTTCTTCTAGCTCAAGAATAAAAAGCTGGCCATGGCTGGGTGGCTCAGCTGGTTGGAGTGTTGTCCCATACACCGAAAGTTTGTGGGTTTGATCCCCAGTCAGGGCTCATACATGAGGCAACCAACCGAAGTTTCTTCCTCTCTTTCCTCTCTCACTAAAATCAATAAATATAACCTTGGGTACAGATTTTTTTTTTTTTTAAGCTGTGGTACATTTACACAATAGAACGCTATGCAACAGCGGAAAAAAAAAAAAAGAACTCTTTTTGTAACTGCATGGATGGATCTGGAGATTATTATGCTAAGTAAAATGAGCCAGTCAGTGAAAGGCAAATACCATATTATCTCACTTACAAGGTATATATAGAATCTAATGCACAAAATAATATCCTTGAGTGAGGGTAAAAAAAAAAAAGATAACATTAAAAAAATAAAAAGCAGCCATAGACAATATATAAATGAGTGAGCATGGCTATCAATAAAACCTTAAAAAATAAATAAGTAATGAACAAAATAGAAACAGAGGCATAGATACATGGAACAGACCAACAGCTATAAGACAGGAGAGGGGAGAAGGAGACTGAGTGAAAGGTGAAGGGATTAGCCAAAGAACACGTGTGCGTGACACACAGACACAGACAGCAATGAGGTGACAGCCAGAGGGAGGCAGGGCAGGACTGGGGAGGAGGTTGGCAAAGGGGAAGCAAATGGGGACAACTGTAATGTAAACAAAAAAAATAAATAAATGTCTTAACATCAATCATTAATAGTCTACTTGCTGAACTCATACTTTACATTTTCTTCTATTTTCATATATCAACAGGAATTGGCAGCAATGAAACAAATTCTCACTAACATACGCAGTAAGCGCCCCGAGGACAGGTTACTTCTGACTAAAACGGAATCAAAAAAGATGACAGGAAATCAAAAATCAAAGACTTTGAATGTGTCTAGAGAACATGAAGACAATATATTTATACCCAAACCAACACTCTTTGTAAGTACAAAAAAAAAAAAACCCTTAAAATTTTGTTCTCTCTGATTTCACTAAATATAACTTACTTAATTTTCATTTCTCTCATTCATATTGGTTTTAAACTAATCTTAATAATTTAAGGGAATGGCCTGAAAATATGTTTTAATCCCTTTTCTGAAAGTATATTAATATATATACACACATAATGTATCCTATCTTCCAGCTGATAATTGTGTTTTATATTTCAGTCAATATATTGGACTTGCCCAGAAATTAGCCTTAATCAAGCATTTACCTCTCTCAGTCTCCAAGAACTAATTATAGGGGAATCAGGAAGACATTTTTATAAATGTTTCGTTTATTAAGAGTAAAAAGGATGCAAAATATCGCCTTATTAGGTAGAAATGTATGTGCACAGAAATTAGTTAAGGAATAAGAAATGAGAACAATTTGAAAATGATGTTTTAACAAATAGTAAGAATAACAATAAAAAGGCTACAGAATCAAAATAAGAGTAACATTATTAAATACTTTACTGTTCTTCAACATAGGGCCCATGCATGCTTTAATTTCTCAGGAAAAACATCATTTTTACCATCTGAACATAGGTACTTGAAACCAGATTTTAACTACTATATTCTGATTCAGTGGGTCCTCAGAATCTTTTTTTTTTAAACTCTCTAAATGACTATAGAAATCAGTCAAGTATGGGCGCTTCTGATCTAAGCTATTTCATTATACATCCAGATAGTGCTACTCAAGATCAATGAGGTCATTACTTAATTCAGTCTTTAAACAAAAGTGGCAGAGAGTTACAATCTATATTAAATACAGGATAATTGTTCTAAGAATCTATGTGGCAGTAATGGAGACCGAGCTCACAGGGAGAAAACAGGAAGCCTCAATTTACAGGCCTGGATACTTGTAGTTTTCACTTCCTCACTAACTTGCTCAGGGCCCCTTGTCTGGAGTTTCTGTGTATCCTTCCCATGACTACTCTCTTAAAACCTAGTTCTCCCTGTATTTTCCAGGAGCAGGAACCTAATTGGCACAGCTCATCCTTGTTTGGAGATACTCTTTTTTGGCAAGGTCTCTTAAGGTCATTAGCCAGCATATGAACAGCTATTCTAACTAGTGAGTAGGAGCCACATGGTACCAAATAGAGCTGTCTGGGGTCTGTTTATTCAGAAGGACAATCGCTAGGCAAGTTTTCATAGAAAGTGGGCTGAGATTATGGCAGACACTACGATATGTCTATTATAGTATAATCCACAGGAAGAAGGCAGACAGAATACATAGATGTTAATGGGGAAAAGGGTTAGATGAAAACCACAATACAGAGCCAGACTTAAAGCCTATCATATTCTGTGATCTGCTTTTCTGACTCTTCTCTGTTCCAAGCAATGAACTATTCTTTCTGACCCTGACCTCCTACATTTCTGACTTTAGCTTGGTAACTTTTTTCTGATATCCTGAAATCCTGACTATAACCATAGCATAAGTAATGGTAAGATTTCTCCAGTACCTCAAGATAAGGTTATGCAATGAGAATGAAATTAAAATTCAAAATACAAAGTATTAATTAGGTAGTTCTTTCTTTCCTTCTTTATGCTTATCTGTTTTTCTACAATAAACTTTCTTTTATAAGAGAAAATTTTTCAAAGAGATACGAGCTCAGCTATGTCCTTATGAAAACTGAGAGATAACACTGTAAACCAGTCAAATCAAGGCTATGTGCTAATAATACAAAATGAGATATGTGAATTGACTTAGTCACTTAGCATATAGTCATTCAAATACTCTGAGCTGGTACTTATCCATAAAATTAGGAGGAAAGTTATATGAAATGAGGTCTGGACTTCTTTTATACTAACACAAATGATTCTGTTAGGGCATCATAATTTTTACAGTTATTATTTTGAGTATTTTCAATTTTCTCTAACAATATTTTTCTATGTATTCTCTGATCTTGTTAATAAGGAATTTAATATGCAGATATTTGAAAATAAGGTCTAATCATTTCATAATCTTATGGTTTTATAGCGAAGATGGAAACATTTCTAATTTACTTCTAGATCCTTTGACTGATCCTGTTGGCATTTTTTTCCTGATATTAAATTTAATAATGGATGGATGGATGGATGGATGCATGTTTATGTGTATATTAAAATATGAGGAAAACACAAAATGGGCAATTAACTGGAGGTAGAGCTGTGATGTAGAGGAGAAGGACTAAGAGCTTGAGTGAATGCTTGCAGTGCTCATGTGATATTTATATATGAAGACAACTTCAGGAAGTGCATTTTATAGAAAAACCCTGGCCATTGATGTGGCAGTTGCTTTTCAGGCATTTAGTGCACCAAAAAAAGACCTAGATTCAACCCCAGAATGTAAGTGCTTGAAAGACAGAAGCTGTGTTCCCGTTGCTTCACACAGCACATGAACAAAGCAGATACTCAATAAGTATCTGCTAACTGAGGATAAAAATTGAATTCAACAAGTGTATACTGACTATATGCAATAACCTGTGCTAAACATTATTGGATATCTGGTCATGAAGATGCAGAGTCATCTTTAAAGATACTCCTCCTCCAAGATCAAGGATAGTAAAGAGGTAATAGTTAAGGCAAAATTGGGTGGACTACTTTAAATGCAATACAAACTGCTATGGACATTCAAAAAAAGAATAGAAACTCTGACATTGATAGGCTCCCAGGAAAAGAAAGTATTTGAAGTTGACCTTAAAGAATGTCTAGGATTTTGACAGGTGACAATGAAGGTTAGAGAGTTGAGAAATTCCAAGGGTAGAGAAAGTACAAGATGCACGACGTATTTTCTAATTTGTGCTTCTTTTCATTACTCAGGAATAGTACTCTAATATATATTCCCTATATCTAGACTTCTTTTTTTTTCCTTTCTTACTACATTCTTTGGCCTGACTTTAGTCATTTCACCACTCATTAACATTTTCCCTCAGGACATAAAGGGAATAAAAGTGGATAGGGAGGTTATGCCTAGAGTACTCAAATCCAGAGCGGCAGAAAGTGGAATGGTGGTTGTGAGGGACCAGGGGAAGTGGGGAGTTCGTGTTTAGTGTGTGCAGAGTTTCCGTTGTGCAAGGCGAAAAGAGTTCTGCGGCTGGACGGTGGGGATGGCAGCACAGTGGGAATACACTTACTGCCGCTGCACTGCCACTTAAAATGGGTAAAATGGTAAATTTTATATTATATGTATAGTGCTATAATTTTTTTTAAATTTTTAAGTAGATATAAAAACAGTTCTCATTATTTGTGAGGAAAAGTTAATAATTTCATCAAAAGTGAAATTTAGCTGTTTTTTGCAATAAAGTACTATAACGAGTACAATTCGATATACTAAGACAAGTGGCAGCCTGGCTGGGTAGCTCAATTGGTTAGAGTGTCGCCCCCAATATGCCAAGATTATGGGTTCTATCCCCGGTGAGGGCACATACAGAAATGAACCAGTGAATGCATAAATAAGTGGAACAGCAAGTAAAAGTTTCTCTCTCTCTCTCTCTCTCTCTCTCTCTCTCTCTGTCTCTCGGCCCCACTTCCCCTGCCCAAAATCAATATTTTCTTTAATGACAAAAGATGTCACACTACCATTACCACAAGATCATGTCCTAAATCCGTACCTCTCAACATTTCTCACATTGTGACGCACCTAGAAAAGTATATTTCTTTGGCACACCAGGGAAAATGAAATTTAGGTTGGAGGGGCTCCAGCCATCTCTGGGGTTGTAGGGATCAATAGTTTATTGTACCTGCAACATTTTCTTGTCACGTGTTTGGAAGCTCTGGTCTTACTTTTTAATGTTGAATCGAGACTTATCTCACCAAAACATGCTCAAACCTCAAGATATCTAGCTGTGTACATTTACATTGTAAAAAGTAATTTTTCAGTTTCTAGTGTTAGGAATACCAATTGCAACCTCTTCCTGGTGTACTTTAGCTGGTAAGCTAAATTGGAAACAGGAATTCCAATGGATGGGTGAGAGGCATCCTAAGGCAGGGAGGGCTGGGTGATCTGGGGCGGGCTTAGCCAGTTTCTGGGCAAGCCGGTCCGCTACCCTAGACTCCCTTAAGTTGGGCCCTGTGAGGACTCATAAATATTTATTTCCTTGATTCCCAGCTTATATATCTTTTTTGGGAAACAAAGTAATTATATCTACTAAGCATAGTCTTTCTTTAGAAAACTGGCAGGGTTTGAACACTAGTAGATTCTTAATTTCTAGCTTATTTTCTAAATTCCAGGAATAATACACTAGGCTTATTATATCTGCATTTTATCAGTCATCATTCTTTCTTATTTTAACATACTTTCTTAGTATGTTATAATCCCCAAATTATGCATTAGTGTTTTAATAGGCTGCTTCTGGATACACAAATGTACCTATCTTGTTAGTTACTCTTCTCCAAAATCACACTATAAATTGCTCCTAATAGGTTCCCGGTCGATCCTACCATTTGTTTCTGCCACAGCTCTGCGAGCTCTTTCCTAGATAGAGTTTACTTGAGTGCCTGTTAACACTTCACTCATAAACCAAGGTTTTCATTAATTTGTACTATTTCTTTATAAAATTACAAATTTTTATATTATAATATTTCCAATATGAAAGGTCACTTTAAGTAATTTACCTGTCTCGTATGATGTTCATATGGGTGCATATAATGGAGCCTATAAGAGTCTTAAAAAAAAAAAAAGACAGAAATGTGAAAGTTAGAAAATAAGAGACCTCCTCAGTTAAAAGATAAACTCTGTTAATAACTGAAGAAGGATAACAAAATTTGTTAACAGAAAGTACCAGTACCAGCTTATGGGTGTGCAGGATGAATAATCTTACTAAGATGGTAATGTAAAAGAAACACTATTGTTTAAATAGGTAAAAGAGTGGAACTACCAAAAAAAGCGGTTAATTTTGTATCTGAATTTTTATTGTGCCCAATTTATTTAGCAGTCATCTATTAGGAGTCGGCAAATTTTTCTTTAAAGGGTAAGAG